AATGGAAGAGGGAAAAGAGCTGGATTTAGGAATGATGGAAGGGGGAAAAGGAGTGGGATGTAGGGATAATGGAAGGGGAAAAGAGAAGGGATTTAGGGATAATGGAGAGGGAAAAGGGGCGGGATGTAGGAATAATGGAAGAGGGAAAAGAGATGGGATTTAGGGAAAATGGAAGGGGAAAAAGGGGCGGGATTTAGGGATAATAGATGAGGGAAAGGCAGGTGGGATTTAGGGATAATGCCCATTCCCACAACCATCAGCAGCTCCTGGAAGAGAGGAAAACCAGACAGGTGGGATTTAGGGAAAATCCAGACACCTCCAGGCTCGGATCCCTCCAGCTCCACGTTCACCCCAAAGAATCCAACCCCAATTCTCCAGCTGGTTCACCCCAGCAATTCACCCTTCTCAGTGCTTCCAATCCCATCCCAGGCCTCTTTTTGGGGTTTTYCTGCCTTACCAGTGGGATATCGACCCCCCAGAGCTGCCCGCCCAGCTTGCAGTTGATCTGCAGCAGAACTTTCTGCACCACGCTGCGGATTTTTCCAGGATGGCCCATCAGGGACTGGGCGTTGATGACCTGGGAGGAGGGGAAACAGCAGGAAAAGGGGGGCTGGAGACAGGCAGGGCACCCCAGGAATGGGGGGACAGGGATGGGGTACTGGGAATGGAATGAGGGGCCTGGGAATGGAATAGGGGTCATGGGAATGGAATGGGGGTCATGGGAATTGGGGTTCTGGGGATGGAATGGGGGTGGGGGTCCCAGGAATTGGGGTCTGGGAATGGAATGGGGGTCCTGGGAATTGGGTTTGGGAATGGAATGGGAGTCCTGGGAATGGGGGTCCTGGGAATGGAATGGGGATCCCAGGAATGGGGTCTTGGGAATGGGGTCCTGGGAATGGAATGGGACTCCCTGGGAATTGGGGTCCTGGGAATGGGGGTCCCAGGAATGGGAGTCCTGGGAATGGAATGGGGGTCCTGGGAATGGGGGGCCAGGAATGGAATGGGGGTCCTGAGAATGGAATGGGGATCTCAGTAATGGGGTTCTGGGAATGGAATGGGACTCCCAGGAATGGAATCCTGGGAATGGAATGGGGGTCCTGGGAATGGAATGGGGATCCCAGGAATGGGGTCTTGGGAATGGGGTCCTGGGAATGGAATGGGGGTCCTCAGAGTGGAATGGGGTCCCAGGAATGGAATCAGGGTCCTGGGAATGGGGTCCCAGCCCTCCCACCTGCGAGGGCACTGGGCTCTGCACGCAGCAAAGCTTCTTGACGGCACCGTAGACGTCGTCCCGACCGCTGGGGATGATGCACAGGAGCAGCTGCACCTTGTCCTGAGGGGGGAACGGTGGGATGGCTCAGGTTGGATCCTCCAGGATCACTGAGCGCAACCTGAGGCCACCACTGGGCCACGTCCCCGAGTGTCACATCCCTTGAACAGCTCCAGGGATGGGGGATCCAAACCTCCCTAGGCAGCACATTCCTGTATTTAACAACTCTTTCCATGGGGAAATTCCTGCTGATGTCCAACCTGACCCTCCCCTGGCACAGGGGTGGGATGTTTCCTGAAACCGTTCCCTCCTATCCTGTCCTGGTTCCCGACCCCCACATGGCTGCCCAGTCCTGTCAGGGATTTTTAGGGGTCCCCCCTGATCCTCCTCTTCTCCAGGAGGACAAATCCCATCCCACCTGTCCTCCCACCTTCCCGCTGATCCCCCCACTCCTCACCTGGCTCCCCAAAGAGCTCTGGATGGCCCTGACGTAGCTCTCGATGCGGTCATCGCGCAGCTCCTGCACCGTGGGCTGTCCCACCTGCATCCCCATGGCCCCACAGCTGCCCCTCATGGCTGCCAGCAGGTCCTTGGCCACGTGCTGMAGYCGCTTRGGATAGAGCAGGAGCCAGGAATTGATGGAGATCTGTGAGAGAAGAGGACAGGCTGTGGTTTGGGGGTGTTCCTATTCCCAACCCACGCAGCACGTTCCCATTTGGGACAGGAGAAACCCGAGGAGCACAGAAGGATAATTGGGAGAGGAAAAGTGGACTGGGAGGAACCTGGAGCACAGCAGGGAGTTTGGGAGAGAGGAATTTGGGAGAGGGAATTCAGGCCAAGAAGAACCTGGAGCACAGAAGGGAATTTGGGAAAGTGGCCCAAGAAAAATCTGGATGCAATTCCAACCAATTCCTGCATGTGAAAAGGAGGGAGGGGGTGCGAAAGCCGACACCAGAGCCACATACCTCCAGCTCCTTCRGAAAAACAGGCYRGRRCACAAATCCAACACAAACAAGGGGAAGGTTTGAGCTGGAAACAGCTCAGCCCCAATGCCAGCTCTGAGGAAAACCCACGCCAACATTCCCAAGGAGGAGAGGCCCTGCTCACCACGGCGATGGGCACCTCCTTGGTCACCTCGCGGTGCCAGCTCAGGTCGTCGGCGGGCAGGAAGGAGCGGTGCCGGAGGTTGATGCGCTCCACGGGCAGGACGTGACCCTGGGTCTGGGCAGAGCAGGAATYTCCAGAGCTGCCTCCTCTGCCTGCCAGGGCAAGGCCGGGAGCCCCGCAGCCCTTACCCGGTAGATGTCGGTGTCCAGGCACAGCCCCCAGCGCTCCAGCTCCCGGGAAGCGTCCGGCGTGTCGCGGATGCGGCGCAGGAGGTTGGTGAGGCGCTGGTAGTGCTGCTGGGGGCTCTGGATCATCTCCCACATCACCTCCTGTGCCAGCAACACCCACGGGTCAGGGAGGGCTCGGGGCTGCACCCAAAGCCTCGGGAAAGTTGGGATCAGGGGGTGAAAGAGGGTCTGACCTTCAGCATCCGACTGTTCTTGCGGAGGTCGGAGAGTCCAGTGAGGAAGGTGAGCTCCGGGACAAGCAGCACCATCTCCAGCTGGCGCTGCAGGGAGAGCCAGGCTCCGTCAGAATTCCAGGGGCTGAGAATCCAGGGACTGGCAATCCCTGCTGGCCCAGGAGCTGGAGAAGCCCAGAGCAGCCCGTGGGTCCCTGTGCCTGGCTCACCTTTCCATCTGGCATCTGTTTCTCCTTGGGCTTGTGGATGAGCAGCGGCTGGTCCAGCTCCCTGATGGTGATCCCGTGGGTCTTGCTGGAAAAAACAGCATCGTCACACAACCCTGGAATTTGGGTTTGGAAGGGATCTTCCAAAAGATCCAAACCCGTGCTGTGGGCAGTGACAACTCCCTGCTCCCGCTGCCCTGCCCGGATCAGCGCCAAGCATGGAGCTCTCCCCGTTCCCATTGGAATGATCCCACAGCCCTCCCCATTCCCAGGGAATGATCCCACAGCCCTCCCCATCCCCAAGGGATGATCCCACAGCCCTCCCCATTCCCAGGGGATGATCCCACAGCCCTCCCTATTCCCAGGGAATGATCCCACAGCCCTCACGGAACCCTCCCCATCCCTAGGGGATGATCCCACACCCCTCACAGAACCCTCCCCATCCCCAGGGGATGATCCCACACCTGTAGTACTCCACAAAGGTGATCTCCTGGCCGCTGGCCAGGGTGAAAGTGTCCTTGGGGGTCTTGTCCCAGTCGATGTCATCCACRCGATAGGTGCGGTTGTTGTAGCGGGTCATGACCACGCTCCCCACCAGCTGCTTGGTGCACTCATCCTGGAATGTTCTCTGGCTCTGCGAGTGGATGGTTTGCCTGGGGGAAGGGGAGAGGCCCGTGGAATGCTCCCTGCTTGTCCTACCCCCAAAATAAATAAAGCACGTTCTGCAGCACCCTCGCCCCTAAAGCCTCCCGGGGGTTTCTCTGCTGAGGTTTTTTTGTGCTTTTCTCACATCACGCTCAGCACGGACTCGCTGCGGATGATCTTGTGGATGGCGTCCACCATGAGGAAGAGCCCCCCGTCCTTCCTGCGGATGCTGACGGCGTATCCCGGCCAGATATGGAGGCTGTGCCCGGAGGGAAAGAGGCCCTGGGTTAACCCCGAACAGCCAAGCAACACCCAAAACTCAGAGATTTCTCCCCAAGCTCTCTCCCAGCTCGTAACTTCCCAAAACAGCCGCTCCAAAGTCAGGTTGACCAGAGCTGACCTGGGAAAACTTCCCAACTTCCAGGTTTCCAGGGAAACAGGGATGATCCTGTGGGAAGGAAGGTGCCAGCACCCACCTGTATTTCTGWAGGGTGGTGGCCTGGGCAGGCTCGAAGAAATGCCGCCCAACCAGGCTCATGTTTAGGATTTTCATCACCCTAAGGAAGGAAAAGCAGGAAAAATAGGACTGGATGAGGATTGGCAGGGAGAAGAAGGAAAAGGGTCTCCTCCTTGGAGTCTCACCTGCGGAAAACCACATTGTAAAAGGGGATGCAGAGATCTGAGCTGGGCTCCAGGATCTTGGTCATGTGGATGTTGATGGAAACCTCCTCCCCGCTGCCCTTCCTCTGAGCCTTCAGRCTGACCTTTAACAGGGCCAGAGGGGGTTCTGCCACCCAAAACAGGGGCACCGCTGTGCCACCCAGCTGGGTGAGACCTCCCCACCCCTTACCTTGGGGATCTGGGTGGGCAGGAAGAGGATGGAGCCGTCAAAGGCCATCACGTCCCCGGTCACGGCGTGCTGCTCCTTCAGCAAGGCCACGCGGGTGCTCCTGCACTCCACCTCAGGGCTGGAGGCACACAGGGGCTTTCCTCCCTCCTCTATGCCCCCCCAGCCCCTCAAAAACCCCACTGAAGGGGAAAACCCAGAGCTCTTTGCTGTGTTGTAGCCACCCCATCTGGTGGCAGCCAGGAGGGACATGGAGGGCTCTGCCTGGGGACACCCCCACCTCGAAAGGCTGTGGGGGACCCTCGAGGGGCTGCAGGGAACCTCAGCCCCCCATTATCACCTGAAGGTAACATGGTACTGGTAGACAGCTTCGTTCTGGCAGTGGATCTTTACAAAGTTCAGCCCCACGGGGACCGTGGCTCCCTTCGGCCCCGGCTTTGTCCCCGGAGTCCTGCAAGGGACAGGGGGTCAGCAGCRACCCAGAACCACCCGGACCCCAAAATGCGGGGTTGGGGTCGCCACTCACGGCCTGGCAGCAGCCGGGGGGCTCTGCGGGTCGGGTGTGGGCGGCGGGCAGGGCTCGGGGCTGGGTGGGCACGGGGCGGGCGCAGCGGCGGCTCTTCCAGGCTGGGTGGGCAGCGCGTCCCCTCTGCCTTTCCACAGGATCCTGCGAGCCCGGGGGACACACGCTGAGGGTGGCCTGGCTTCAAACCCGCAGCGAGGACCCCGATCTCCCAAAAACCCCCAGGTCCTTCCTCACATCAGCCTGGGGGCGTCAAAACACCCATTTTGGGGGGTAGAGGAACAGGAGGGACTGAGGAGATGGGGAAGACAGAGGGAATAAGGCGGACACATGGGACACGGACCGTGGAGGGACGGAGGAGAGGGAAAGGGCCAAGGAATGGGGGCAGATAATAGATGAGGGCAGGAAAGACAGAGAAAACGAAGAAGGACAGGGGGACCCAGAAGGCGATGGGCACTGAGGGTTTAGAGGTGTGAGGGACTCACTGCCCACGCGTGGGGAGCGCCGCCTGAGCTACCCCCTTGTCCTCCTCCTCCTCCTGCTGCACCGGGCCGGGCTGAACCAGAGCCTTCCCATCGCCAGCGCCGCCCCGGCCTGAGGGAGCAGAACCGCGGTGAACCGGGGGACGAGGCCCGTCCGGCCCCCTCAATCCCCCTCAGCACCGCCACCTACCCACAGGCCTCTCGCGGGGCCGCTCGCCCAGACCCAGCCCGCGGAACAGCGCGGGAAACGGCGATGGCGTGGGACGAGGCTCAGCGGGGCCGGCTGAGGGCAGGCGGGGGGTGAATCCCGCGAGCCCGCGGAGCCCCCGCGCTTGGGAGATGACGGGACCGGGRCCGGGTCCGGGCCCGCTCCTGGGGCCGGTGGGGCGGAAGATCCGCGGCGGGTCCATGGCCGTGTCCCCTTCGAGGCGCGCCGCTCGCGACGGACCCGCCGCCACCGCCGCCGGCGCACGCGCCCGCCCCCGCGCGGACCCGGCGCTGATTGGCCCGGCCCCGGGGCACGCGCCCGCCCCCTGGCGGAGGGGAGGGCGGTGCTGAGGGCAGAGCACGCGAAGGGGCGGGGCCACGAAAGGGAGGGGGCGGGGTTATGCAGATTAGGGAGAGGGCATGATGGGAAAAACGGATTCCCTTGCGATGCGCGGCGAGAAGGGGCGAGGTTGGGGGATAATGTGGAATTTTGAGGGAAAAATGGGATGGGTGGGGGTAAAATGGGACGGGAGTAGGGTGGGGTGGACAGGGGAGCGTTGAGATGGAATTAGGGGAGTAAAATGGGACGGGGATGGGATGGGATGGGATGGCATGGGATGGGATGGGATGGCATGGGATGGGATTAAGGGAGTAAAATGGGATGGGTAGGGTGGGATGGGCAGGGGAGCGTTGAAATGGAATTAAGGAGGTAAAATGGATGGGGTGAGAAGGGGGTGGGGTAGAAAGGGGCACCAGCGGGTTGCCCCCCACCCAGGGACCCTGCAGGGCTCAGCAGAGGTGACAGAACAAGACAGAGGAGCCCCACGCAGGGGGAAAAGAGGTTTTATTCCAGGTTTCTCCCCCCAGACACGTGTCCTGCTGCCACCAGCACGGGGACACGCAACAGTCCCACACATCCAGAGATCCCCGTTTGGCACTGGGGGGAAGCAGCCGCTTTGGGGGACACAGCCGGACCCCCCTGCGGGGCTGGAAGGGGGTGGGAGCCCCTTCCCCACATCCCAAAGGCACATCTGGAGGGGCTGAGGGTCCATCCCCGGGGGCTGGGGGGCCGGGATCCCCTCGGCTACCGGTGCCGGTGCTCCAGGAGAGCCTCGAAATCCGGGGAACAGACCAGCTTGTGCCTCACGTGGCCCAGCACRATCATCTCGCCCGTGCGGTTGTCCCCGATGCCGACAGACACCAGCTCCTGTTCCATGGGGGAAAAACCCCCGTGAGCAGCCCAATCCCATGGGAATCCCTGTGAGAAGCCCCTGATGTGGGGGCTGAGCCTGGAGATGTCCCCAAAGGGGATGGGCAGGACCCTTCCCCACCACTGTCACAGGGAAGGCCACCCAAGAGCCAGCACGACCCCCCAGGGGGGTTATTTTGGGGTGAAACCCCTAAAATTTTGTGCTCGTGTCCCCCCGTACCTGTAGGAAGGAGCAGGGGGTGCCCATGGTCACATCCAGGGTCACCTTGCCCAGCACCAGCTGCACCTTTCCYGATTTTCGGATGAGCAGTTTCCCCACCTGCCCCTCGGGGAGGTCGGCCAGGGTGCAGGTGTTCTCTGCCTGCTTCGCCTCCTGCCACGGGGACAGTGGGATTGGGATCATCCCAGGGGATTGGGATCATCCCAGAGGGATTGGGATCAGTGTGGGATTGGGATCATCCCAGGGAATTGGGATCACCCCATGGGACTGGGATCATCCTGAGGGGTTGGGATCATCCCAGGGGGTTGGGATCACAGTGTGGGATTGGGATCAGCCTGGGGGATTGGGATCAGCCTGGGGGATTGGGATCAGTATGGGATTGGGATCAGCCCAGGGGATTGGGATCAGTGTGGGATTGGGATCATCCTGGGGGATTGGGATCACCCCATGGGACTGGGATCACCCCATGGGACTGGGATCACAGTGTGGGACTGGGATCACAGTGTGGGACTGGGATCACAGTGTGGGACTGGGATCACAGTGTGGGACTGGGATCATCCTGGGGATTGGGATCACCGTGTGGGATTGGGATCACAGTGTGGGATTGGGATCACCCTGAGGGACTGGGATCACCCCGTGAGGTTGGGATCACCCCGTGGGACTGGGATCACAGTGTGGGATTGGGATCACCCTGGGGGACTGGGATCACCCCGTGAGGTTGGGATCACCCTGTGGGACTGGGATCACAGTGTGGGACTGGGATCATCCTGGGGGATTGGGATCAGTGTGGGACTGGGATCACAGTGTGGGACTGGGATCATCCTGGGGATTGGGATCATCCTGGGGATTGGGATCAGTGTGGAACTGGGATCACCCCATGGGACTGGGATCACCCCTGAGGATCGGGATCACCCCGTGGCATTGGGATCACATTGTGGAATTGGGATCACCCTGTGAGGTTGGGATCACCCCGTGAGGTTGGGATCACCCCGTGGGACTGGGATCACAGTGTGGGACTGGGATCATCCCGGAGGACTGGGATCACCCCGGGGCAGTGGGATCAC